CAGAAACACAGGCCTTCTCACCAGACCACTAAGGCTTAAATCCAACCTTTTTTTTGTTCGCTACAATGTTGTACTAATGATTTGGCACATATTTATCAATTGGCTAGTATTGTTATGACAAGTTTTTATATTATTTATCCTAGATCATGTGTATTGATGTCATTTTTGGCAAGCTGAAAAGAGTGTTTCATTTTGGGAATCAAAAATATTGAGTTATTACGTTGGGCCGTGTCCCATAGGAATAATTCAGGTCTATTTTTGGTTCTCTGTGTGAAATGTTCCACAAGAGAAAAGCAAATTCCCTCTGAAGTCACAGTTGGTAACAAAAATGACGTCCTTGATATGGACCAATAAATCATTGTGAAGTAAAATGAGTTATGGGGGAAAATCAATGATGTTTCATATGGAGTCTCTTATTAATGGAAACGTAAGCTGTTTATGCTTACAGTACACACTAATGTCAGTGTTTTCATGAGTTATCACTGACTTTGTCTTTCTGTTATTCCATATGCTACCAAACAAGCTTGCATGATTCTTCATTATTGAATTGGTCATTTAATTATACAAAGATAATCATTTGGTAATCAAACTTAATTTAAAGCAATGTTTCAATTAAGATCCTGTTTTCTAAGTCCTGCTGATGTGTTTTTATCCAGGAGTGGCACCTAATTTATGCGTCATTCTTTTCAAATACATTAAACCAATTATATATAAAACATAAAATAAATTTAGTTTTTTTTTCTTTTTTTCTTTTTTGATAATGATTTAGAAGCTTATAGAATTATTATTTGGAGGATTCTGTTTCTGTGTCTGTTCTAGTGCTGATGTGTGAATTATCTTTTCTGAACTTTCTGAAGTGAGGTAATACACCCGTATGCATTATATTTTAAAATGTTAAATATATATCAGCATGTTGTGTAGATCAGGAATAATAACCACACTGCTCTCTGGTCTGAAAGGTCCATAATACAACTCAATTAAGATTCATTTTGAGACTTGAGAATAACAGGCAAGCTTCCACTCAGTGATAATCTCTACTTCTCTGTGTGTTTCAATACAGCTGTACCAGCACCTACACCAAGATCTTTATCTATATCTATTCACAACTGATGGCCATACTTTGCCCTTTATTTGCTCTTTCATTCTCTATCATCCATTTTTTGTTTTTCAGTTTCTGCTTCCTTTGCTTGCGCTGTTACAATGTTATATTTTTAGGGGTGTGACGGTACACAAAAGCAATGGTTCGGTGCGTAACTGTTTTGAAGTCATGGTTTGGTATGTTTTCGGTACAGCGGGGGAACAAACAAAAAATAAAACTATTATTATTATTATTAAAGGGGTCCTATTATGCTCTTTTACAAAGTCTTGATTTTGTTTTGGGGGTGTACTAGAACAGGCTCTCATACTAGGTTGTTCGAAAAACACATTATTTTTCACATATTTTACATTATTTCAACACCTCTCCCCAGTCTGGCATGACGACTCAAATAGTTCCTGTATCAAATGAAGGCCCACATTCTGAAATACGAAATGTGCTGTGATTGGTTAGCTGGGCCAGTGTGTGTTGTGATTGGCAGCACTCGGCGCCTGGTCGGGAAATATCATGCCCCTTTCCATAGCCGCCTGCTGTGAGCTTCAGTGTAAATATTGCATCAAAATCAAATCAATTTGAGAGTGATTTAAACCCCGATGATTGTAACCACTCTAAGTTCGTCTGCGTTGGGGAAACTAGCGTGTCTCCGACATAGTGGTAACACTCGTTGCCTTCTCTAGTGCAGCTCAACCAGGTCTCGTCCCACTTTGTCTTTCTGTTATTCCATATGCTACCAAACAAGCTTGCATGATTCTTCATTATTGAATTGGTCATTTAATTATACAAAGATAATCATTTGGTAATCAAACTTAATTTAAAGCAATGTTTCAATTAAGATCCTGTTTTCTAAGTCCTGCTGATGTGTTTTTATCCAGGAGTGGCACCTAATTTATGCGTCATTCTTTTCAAATACATTAAACCAATTATATATAAAACATAAAATAAATTTAGTTTTTTTTTCTTTTTTTCTTTTTTGATAATGATTTAGAAGCTTATAGAATTATTATTTGGAGGATTCTGTTTCTGTGTCTGTTCTAGTGCTGATGTGTGAATTATCTTTTCTGAACTTTCTGAAGTGAGGTAATACACCCGTATGCATTATATTTTAAAATGTTAAATATATATCAGCATGTTGTGTGTAGATCAGGAATAATAACCACACTGCTCTCTGGTCTGAAAGGTCCATAATACAACTCAATTAAGATTCATTTTGAGACTTGAGAATAACAGGCAAGCTTCCACTCAGTGATAATCTCTACTTCTCTGTGTGTTTCAATACAGCTGTACCAGCACCTACACCAAGATCTTTATCTATATCTATTCACAACTGATGGCCATACTTTGCCCTTTATTTGCTCTTTCATTCTCTATCATCCATTTTTTGTTTTTCAGTTTCTGCTTCCTTTGCTTGCGCTGTTACAATGTTATATTTTTAGGGGTGTGACGGTACACAAAAGCAATGGTTCGGTGCGTAACTGTTTTGAAGTCATGGTTTGGTATGTTTTCGGTACAGCGGGGGAACAAACAAAAAATAAAACTATTATTATTATTATTAAAGGGGTCCTATTATGCTCTTTTACAAAGTCTTGATTTTGTTTTGGGGGTGTACTAGAACAGGCTCTCATACTAGGTTGTTCGAAAAACACATTATTTTTCACATATTTTACATTATTTCAACACCTCTCCCCAGTCTGGCATGACGACTCAAATAGTTCCTGTATCAAATGAAGGCCCACATTCTGAAATACGAAATGTGCTGTGATTGGTTAGCTGGGCCAGTGTGTGTTGTGATTGGCAGCACTCGGCGCCTGGTCGGGAAATATCATGCCCCTTTCCATAGCCGCCTGCTGTGAGCTTCAGTGTAAATATTGCATCAAAATCAAATCAATTTGAGAGTGATTTAAACCCCGATGATTGTAACCACTCTAAGTTCGTCTGCGTTGGGGAAACTAGCGTGTCTCCGACATAGTGGTAACACTCGTTGCCTTCTCTAGTGCAGCTCAACCAGGTCTCGTCCCATTCGTCGATATTTGTGATATCACAAATCCCAGAAAATATGCGTTGTAGTACAAACGAGTCGTTCGTTGTAGTTTTTGAAAAGTGATTTCTGTTATCTCCTTTTGAATTGGACTTTGAGCTTTGTAACTTCGCAGATCTTTTTTATTCTCAAACAGCAACATTACAGACTAACTAAAGTTGAAAAAGTGAAAAAGCATAATAGGACCCCTTTAAATAGGGGTTTGATGAACAAACTTTTTACTGCTGCAACTGGCTGCAACACACTCTTTGTACTGCAGTTTATGGTTCTGTTGTACAATTAGGAAGAGATTTGAAGTTCTTCCACTTACAAAGTATTTTACCTTTTAGGCAAAATTATTGCCCTCTCATACTATTCCACTTCGTCTATTTGACACGCATGCGTGAACCAACGCTCATTTAGTGAAGTCTGTGAAGTCTTAACACTTCCAATATATTTTGCTGTTGATGCCAAAGGCTGTGTGTCCAAACAAACGCTTACGGTATTGTGGTGCATGGCATCTTGAGGCTGAACTTTTAATACAATTTAATGTTCAACCAAGAATGATTTATTTTCCTTTGTATGAATTTTGAATGAATACTTGTCTTCGCCCTCCCTTGTGTTCAAACTCTTTTCTCTGTACAACCAGCATCACATTTAAACCAGTGGGCATGAACTGACTCCCTGGCATGCTGTAACTCATGGCAGCCCTATCAACTTCATTGATTTTTGTCTTTTCCTCTTCTCATCACGGCAGTTTTTCATGCCTCTGCTCCTCGCAAAGGTTTTATGTCAGTTTCTTCCCTCCCTGTGGATGTACTGGCATACTGCTGTTGATTTTTCTCTCTCCTTAAACTCATCGGGAGTGTCCGAACAGGGAGAGAAAGAGAACGATAGAGAGAAATAGAGACAGAACAAGAGTATTCAGCAGACAGAGAGCGAGAGACATTGATTGGTACGGCATGCTGAGCGCAGAAGCAGGCCAGGCCCATGTGAGTCATTTGCTGAGAGGCCCTTTGAACTCTCAGCTATACAGAGGAGCACTGCTATGCTGTTTTTAACTGGGTGAACTGGAGCTAACGAAATGTCCAAATGAAGGCAAAGACAGCATACAGCATGACTTGTACACCTTGTCAAAAAAAAAAAGAGAGAGAGAGAGAGAGAGAATTATTTTTAACTGTCTCCCAGGAGTAAAATAGTATTACTCAGAGGTTGCTTTTTCTTAGCTCAGGAGACTTAATGTTGTTCCCATTTGTTTTTAAAGTATAAACCTGGTCTCAGATGTTTGTTCTAAAATCCCTTAAATTGAAACAAATGAGAGAATTACTACAGCTGTTATTTTTGAGATTTCATACACCTATAATAGATAAAATACATTTATAATATATATATAATAATAATGTAAATATGTAAAAAATATTTTTTACAGGTATATTAATATTTTTGTAATTCCCTTTTAATACTTTTTTTCTATATGTCGTTCATGTTTATTTTAATGGCTTTGCGATCTAAGGGCTTGATTTACTAAACAGGACAAATAAGTGTGAGAAAGCAATTCCATAAAAGCGTAGATGGGAGTGAAAAGTTTTGTGGTTGATCCACTGACAGTGCGCAAACGAACACAGATGCAGTCAGTTCACATCCAAAATGACCAACACAGTCTTCCAGCAGCAGCGCAAATTAGCACAGGCTCACAAACTAACAGAGCCAATGATAACCATGTCTGTGTAATCTTCTAAGGACGCAGGTCCAAAATGGGTTAAGTCATGCTTTTTTGGGGCGTTAAATAATGGTGCAAATACCAATAAATTTACTATCACAAATCTTAGTAAATCAGCTTTTTGTCGTTACGTTGAGGCGTTACTAACTCTGTTTTTTCTCTCTCTATAGATTACATCAGTTGAAAGGCCATCAGTTGCTCCTCCGTGTGCAGCTGGTACCTCCCCGCTGCAGAGCTACTCCAATCCCAGCCCCTACCGGTGGTGCAGCACGCCTCGCCTTCACACTGCCCTCGTCCTTGTGTCCCTCCTTCGTTTCACAACTCCACGTCGGGGACACCGATTCACCATCTGTTACTAAGAAAAGGTGACATAAGCATGCCAGATCGTACCATGTCCTTCTCATATCTCACCTGAGGACGATCAGTGTGGTTCCCCAGGCTCGCCGCGAGCACTCTGACTGGCGAGATGGGAGACTGGGTCTGTCTGAGCCCAGCCGAATTCTCCCAGCTGCAGCAGTACAGTGAGTGTGAGTATCTGGGCACAAGAAGCCTCTCTCTCCTCTGACCTCTCGTTGATTGGAATTGATTTTGGGGCTGTTGGGTGGATAAGAATGGATGAGAGGGTTTATTGGTCCATTTAGATGGTCCTTGGCCATCCTTTTCGATAACTGTACCGCTCAACTTCCTGTGTTTAAGCTGATGCTTTGTTTAATATATTATGTAGGAGGATGCGTACACATTCTGCAGCCAACCCACTAGACTTTTAGGAAGCACTGCTGGGAATGTAGGCTATATTGACGTAATGCATCAATGTGCTGCCAGTGCTCTCTGCGTTGGTATTGATTAATAACGTTTAATGCCGTTATTGATGCAGACCACTTTATAAGCTAAACAGACATATGAAATTTTCAATAACATTAAAAAGTGATGGTCTTGCTTATCTGTTTACGTATTTTACACGGGAACTGTGGTATGACAGATTTGAGGGAATGCAGAATGGTTGTATTGATTTGATGGGGGGGGGAAAGTGAAATCAGATGCTAAAGCAGGATATTAATTCAGTGTATCTATTATTATAAGGGCTTTCGGTAAAGCTGACTCATATTTTGTTATAGGACTGGCTGTGCTAGCACATATACATGTGTAATGAGGAAGACTATGCTTCATCTGGTCAATAAGGACCTGCTGTTTGCCATTCTCACTAACTACTCAGTTCAGCCTGAGAGGAAGCTTTAGTCACATCAGCATTTATATTTTCAGTGTTTTCTTTACAAAACTAATTATGTGCATGTAGTGTAATTGGGAAATAGCTAAGCAGGTGACTGGCTTCAGGCTTGAACTCAAGTGCCAAGAAGAACATTAGAGTGCAAATAATGCACTCTGTGCAAACATTGCGGTTTGTATATACATAGAAACAGTGATGTTGGTTTGATGCTGCCGGGTGCAGACAGTTGATGTAGAGATACAGTATGTCCGCACATAGTGTAATTAATTAGATTAAAATTATAATTTTAATCGCTTGATGGACTCATTTTTGTTTAAATGGCAAATTTAAAAAAAATAATTACAGTGTTAATGAACTTACTAAACTTTAAACTATACCTCTAAAAGCCCCTATTGTTGTGATTATGTGCACAGGCTGCACTGGCTAATATGAATTCCAAAGAGACCTTTGTGCCACTTTAAGAGGTTACCTGTAAAATTACCATGAAATTTCCAAATGAAGCATCTATCTGTGCTTCGTGAGGTTAATTGGCTTATAGGATGCTGTAATAAATGTAAATACTCATAAAGTCAGTATAAATCCTCTTCTTTTGTGAAGGGCGACCTCTGGTAACAGATTTTATTAAAAACCCTTGAGGAACTGTGAAGACTGAATAATCAGTCAGAAGTGCTCTCACCCTGAACTCTGCCAGCAAGCCATATTTAAGCTATAATGCCTTCAAAAATAGCACATACATGATGTGGAGTATATTCTGGGATATCGGACACATTTCCATTAAGAATTCAGTAGGTGTGAAATGAGGCATTAATCTTAAATTTAACTTTATCTCTCAGATTAATTGCCAGGCCTGTCTGGCACAGATTACAGCTGTACTTTAAGGAAATTATCAGTGAAAGAGAGGAGAGAGGATTTCTCAATATCAAAAAAAGAAAAAAAAATATTGGTTTGGAGACCGTATGTACATTCTTGCCACTAAGGAATGTGTAGGCTCAGTTAGGAGCTAAGGACTTTGTTTTGATTCCATGGTGTTAATAATCAGCAGAATACATTTGTCATCTCTGTGTAATGAGCTAATTGAAACTCCAGTCTCAGTCACAGCATTAGGATTCCTGACTATTAAAAAAACCCAGAGACACAGGTCTGTTAGTAAGAGGATGTGTTCACTGCCCACAGAAGCCACAAGCAGTTTGGAGTTTGGTGTCAGTCTTTAAATCAATGATAAGTCTTGTACATTTAAAGGTTCACCCAAAAATGAAAATTCTGTCATTAATTACTCACTCTCATGTCGTTCTAAACCCGTAAGACCTCTGTTCATCTTCGGAACACAAATTAAGATATTTTTAATGAATTCTGAGAGCTCTCTGACCCTCCCATAGACAGCAATGTAATTACCAGGATCAAGGTCCAGAAACGTAGCAAGGAGATCGGTAAAATAATCCATGTGACATCAGGGGTTCAACCGTAATTTTACGAAGCTATGAGAATACTTTTTGTATGCAAAGAAAACAAAAATAACGACTTTATTCAACAATTCATCTCCGCGTCACCCTGGTGCCATTTTGGAGAATATCCACTGAACGCAAACAGCGTATGCTATTCTGTGTCAGCTGCGTCACGCGGATACGTTGTTTTCGTTCAAATCAAAGTGTAAACAACGTAGAAAACGTATCTGCGTATCCCCTGACACAGAATAGCATACGCTGTTTGTGTTCAGTGGATACTCTCCAAAATGGCACCAGGGTGACGCGGAGATGAATTGTTGAATAAAGTCGTTATTTTTGTTTTCTTTGCGTATAAAAAGTATTCTCTTAGCTTCGTAAAATTGCGGTTGAACCCCTGATGTCACATGGATTATTTTACCGATCTCCTTGCTCCTTGCTACATTTCAAGCTACGTTGGTCTTACGGGTTTGAAACGACATGAGGGTGAGTAATTAATGACAGAATTTTCATTCTTGGGTGAACTAACTCTTTAATACTGTTAGTCAAAATGTCCCATTCCAAAGACTAGATATGCATTACGTCTGTGTGTTTGACCTCTGACATTACTCTACATTTTGTGAATTAGGATCTGAAACTTTCACAGCTTGTAAACCTCTGATTGATGATAAAAGTGTGATGTCAGTCTTTCCGACCACAGAAATCACCAGATTGCTTTGTTTTGGGTTTTACCTGTTGAGGAAAGACTTGTTTTGCTCAGATGAAAAAGCGGATGCAGTTTGGTTTTCAGTCATGAGTGTCTGTCGCATTGTCTGGCGCCCCCACCTGTTTTTCCCTTAACCGCTGAGTCTCTATATACTGACTCGCCTAACACTGCTGCTTATTATTTGAATATCTGACTTCATTTTTGGTGTTTTTTCCATTTAAACTGACAGTTCACCCCAAATGAATTTTATGTCATTTTAGACTCACCCTCGTGCTGTCCTATACCTGTATGCTGTTATTTATTTCATGGAACATGGATGTAGAAATAATCTTTAAACTGTTCCTTTATAATGTCGGTTCATATAGTATCTGATCTGTCAACCTCAAAAAAGGTCAAAACTAGAGATGCACCGATTGCAATTTTCTTGGCTGATTCCGATTTGCAATTTTTTTTTTATAAGTGTGACCTGCAGATACCGATTTTTGCCAAATTCCGACTTTCTTTCTAAGAACTTTTTTGCATTTTCAATGATTTACATAATAAAATAAATTATTAAACATTACAGTTCCCCCAATCTGGACTAAGTTACAGATGTTCTCTCACTTAAACAACTCTCAAAATAAAGTGCTCTGTGACTGGAAAGAGGCAGAAATTAGTTGCTCTATATAACAACAGATGTCATTTCCCACTATGTTTATAAATGGTCTTTTTTTCCCTCTAACCTTATGTGTCATCTTTCTCGTCAAATTCTTATATTTTCAATTAATTCAGTTAGAATAATAAGAAACTGTATGGTTGTTACCATTCAAATGAAATCAGTATCAACAAACTCCATCTTTTCACTGCAGAAAACACAGAAACTGCATCTGAAGTGGCATTAGTGTATTTACACAGACTGTTTGATGAAGCTGAGGTGCCATAAATGCATTTACACTGCAAAATTGCAAATGCATAGTTTTATAAGATTAATATTTTAAATACAACTTTTTTTGAACATACAAATAAGAAATGTTGGGGAGAAAATCCAATGATACTTTTAAATATGAAACCAAACCACCCGTAGGTGGCAGCAAATGACTGTTTTAATAAATTAGTCATTTAGTCATTCATTCAACCGATTCGTTCAAACGGCTGATTAATTCAGAAATGAGGTGAGTGGCTGTCTTTATGAATGGGTCACTGAATCATTGACTCAATCGATTCGTTCAAAAACGGGGATTCATTCAGTAACAAAACGCTGCTGTGTGTTGCTGGGAAACACACACAACAGCTTTGCTGTGATTGGAACTATTTTCATGGGCGAAAGTAAGCAAAAACAGTCAATATTATGTCTAAAACATAAGTTACTTAATTTTAACTTACAGTGTCACATTGCAACCGTGTTGATATTCGGGGAAACATCTTGGTCGTGTAATGTTGCTTACATACAGTATATTATACAAGGCCATGCACAAACATTTTGAGGGGCAGTGCCCCAAACCAAAAAAATGGCACTAAGGGGGTGGGTGCTTGTTAATACATGGCTATGGCTGCCTCACTCTCCATATCTTCCTGTTCTGCCTCTGTCTTTGTCTCATTGTGTTGCCTTTATTTCTCAATCTGAACATTTTCTGTCTCTGGCTCAGTTCCAAGACCTTCACTTTTACTTTGTTGTGTTGACTCTGGGGCAGTTTCATCTTAATATAAAGAATGAATAACAAACCTTTTACACTCATATTGTAAATACAATTGTAGGCTTAGTGCTAATTCAATATTTATTGTTGTAATGTAATTACTCTTTCATTTGAATAATTTAATCTATATCTTTCTTTTTGTCACACTAACATATTCCTTTGCTGTCAGCCAGTTTAACAGTCTTTAAACTGTTACAGTTTAACCTGTACCTGTCTGATTTGGCTGATGCTCAGTGGTCTCTCCCTCACTCTCTGAGCCTGCTTCTGCCTCATCTTCAATGAAAGTATAAGCATTATACATTGAATTTAATATTATACAGCATAAATCTATATTATAGCTTACACATAAACATCTCATTTAGAACATCTATATTACTTTTTTTTAACTATTTATAGGCCTACTATTAATATGGTTTTAATAAAATGTTATAAATATGTGTTATATAGATTACTAGTATCAACTAAGACAAGTGATTATAATGGGAAATATACTTAATTACAAGAATTTAAGTGTGACAAACTGCTAAATATTCTATATGATGATTTACCTGCTGGCTTGCTTCGCTTTGAATCCATGTTTGCAATGTTGAACTGTCTTTAGCAGCCTCCCTTCACTCTTTCTCTCTCCGTCTTCTTTTTTGTGAAGGCATTTTTTTTGTCTTCAAAGTATGCCAACTACAGCAAATTTGGTGTTATTTATATTCTGTTTGGGTACAATAATTTGATTAGACAATCTAATTCTAAGAACGTGGATATTTTGTACAAGTTGTTAGCACTTTTAGAAGACCGAGAGCAAATCATTACCGACAGAAATACAAAAACTTACTACCAAATTACTAATTCAGTGGATCAACCACTGATTGTAGTGTGGATTGTAATGCATCTACCTGTTAATGCAACTACCTTCGGGAACTGTATCAACTCTCCAGAGAGTGGGCACACAGATTGTGAGTGATACTGCGGAGCGGGCGGATTAGCGGAATCAGTGGATCTTTTGGGGAACAGTAACAGAACGCTTTGAGCTGGGGTGATGGTGGGGTGATGGGTTGGTGAGAGGGGCACCTCAGCCGATGAGAGCAGAGGGGCAGTGGCTCTAGCCACCGGGTCACCCCCCTGTGCACGGCCCTGATATCATATATTAGAAATATAGTTTTTTTTCTACCGCAGAGTGCATCTATAACTTTCTGAAGGGTGTAAGCCTTCAGAAGTCATGTGAGAAAGAACTAAATTTTAATTGTCATTGATAATCGTCTTCAAAAATGTGTAATTTTGTATTCAATGAAAAAATAACAGCATACAGATTAGAGTGACATGATGGTGAGCAAATGGTAACTATTTATTCACCTACCAATGTTTGCAATCAGTATTTTTAAATTTTGTATTATAGGATTTATTAATACTTTGAATTAGTTTTATTTTTATATTTTAATTTTTTAATTTTTTTAAATATTTTAATTTGAGTTTTAGCAATTTTATGTGTGCTTTTAATTTTTTCTTTCTTTTTTTTAAGCATATATTTCCACATAGCGTTAATTTATTTGTATTTCAGTTTTGGTCATTTTCAGCACTTAAACTTTTTCAGTTAGTTGCTAAGGTAGCTTTTTTTTTATTTAATTTTTTTTATCAAATTTTTATTTTTTATTTAATTTCAGCTTTATTTCAGTTACCAAAAGCAATTTTTGTTAGTTTGTTTTAATTGACAAAAAATGGTTGTAATGAGTAAGTGCCAGTCCTGCACAAATCAAGTGACTTTAAGTTGTATGTGGATTTTGTTTATTTTCTTAAAGGCCGCTAAAAATCCAGCAGAAATTGAAAGCAAGGAGATTAAGCATGTGGGAATAATAAACATTAACAGACATAGCTAGTCAATAGGAGACAGTGATGACTGCTATCAGTACTGGGGGGAGACTAGCAACCTCTGTGAGGAAAGCACCTTGTTCTGCCCCCCTGGGCGGCATTCAGAAGACACGTGTGTGACAACTAATTCAGAAAATAAAAATGTAGCATGGGGCAGCAGGCTCATTTCTACTGGCGTATTGCTAATAAGCTTTGGTGACATTTTCTGCTCAGCTATTATCTCTCCTTAATTAGCCTATTTTGCCAGATTACACACCATACATATAATGTTTCCAGTAATAGATACTAAATGCAAGGCCTTTTTTCAAAATGTTATGGATAATGATGCATGTAGTTTGTTTCAAGTACATTTCTGTTGTGTTTGGAGATAACTTTCTGTTAAGACTTTGAACTGATGCAATATGAGTTGAAAATAAGAAATTAAATTATTTTTTTTTTCATAACTTTTTTATGAAACACACCCAAGATGCAAGATTAACAAATGTTGTTCTGCTTGTAATGTTCCTGGTTTTCAAGTGAATTTGCTAATGAAAGGGCCTCATGAAAAGGAGATGTGCTGTAGAACATCAGCCAATATGTTGGGAGCTAAAATCATTTTTTATTTTATTTTATTTTATTTTATACGAATATTAGCAGAGTTACAGCTTGCCAGTAAAGCATTAGTATCTACACTTACGAGTACAGCTGTATATCTAACTAAGTGTTTTCCTTTTCCTTTTTATTTTTTTTCTCCAGATTCCTCCAAGAAGCTTAAAGATGTCCTGGAAGAGTTTCATGGAAATGGTGTCCTTTCCAAGTACAACCCTGAACAGGTATGTAATGGCAGGAGCTGCCGTGATCTCGCCAGATTAAATGATCTGTTTAGAGGCAGTGGAGCCTCTGGCTGTGACTTGACAGAACACCGATACAACCTGACTCAGGCCGCAAGTCATTACAGGAAATGCTTAGTCATCCGCTCCCTGAAACGAAGTGGCCAGATATTGCCTGCTATTGGAGAAAGTCCTCACTGACATCATAAAGCCCATGCATCATGTTGCCGTGACAATAAAGCCAGCAGGCAGCCGCATCTATAATTTGCTTTATGGAGTGTCACCATTATATTTCTCTCCTCTCTTCCGCACTGACATAAATAAGAGGCTGCTCAGGGTTTGGCGCCACAGGTTGTTACCCAGAGCCATGGCTGAATCAATAGTGAATAAGCACCAGTGGCAATTAATGGTTCTGAAGCTGACGCCAGGTTGGCTGTGGTGTGACATTGCATGCTTCGCATTGTTCATCAGTTCAGTTGTGACCACCTTTAACTCATAAAGTCTGGGAGTATCACAAAATGGAGGTGACATTCCATGAGTGCCACTGTGCTGCCTACTTCTGATGACAGCCCTGTATTTCACTCATGGATACAGCTGTGATTGACTGTCTGACTGAGGTCGGGCTGTAAATATCCTTCATCGCAGTCTCAACAAGTCACGGCTATTTTGAGTGCCTTTTCATAATGAAGTTTAATTATGGTGACACTGTAACCTTTTTCAAATCAAGAGTGTCTGTAAAAATGGGCGCCAGTGAAAGGTTAAAGAAACGGCTCATTGTTTCCTGCATTATTTGATAGCGGGGCCAACCTCTGTGTTTTTACACATTTGAAAGCCAGACAGGAAGTTTCTCTTACAGCCACGGCTGGTTGTGCTGCTTTTCACACCAGCAAAACATAAACGCATTTGCTAATAGTGAGACAAAGAGTCATTTGGGTGCAGTTACTTTCACCTTCCTGTTTTTGGTGTGTATCTGCTCACCATTGCAGTCCCTCAAGCATAGCCTACCTTTGCATGCAAGTTCCTCTGTTTTCACCCCCATTTCCTTCTCTCCTACATGTCTTGCCTGTTTTTGCCTTACTGGCTTTTTGCCTGTTTCCAGCTTCATTTCAGCAACAAGAGGGATCCAAAGGATTTAGGTTTGTTCATTCCTGCAATTTGCTTTTCACACCAGCAAAACATAAACGCATTTGCTAATAGTGAGACAAAGAGTCATTTGGGTGCAGTTACTTTCACCTTCCTGTTTTTGGTGTGTATCTGCTCACCGTTTGCAGTCCCTCAAGCATAGCCTACCTTTGCATGCAAGTTCCTCTGTTTTCACCCCCATTTCCTTCTCTCCTACATGTCTTGCCTGTTTTTGCCTTACTGGCTTTTTGCCTGTTTCCAGCTTCATTTCAGCAACAAGAGGGATCCAAAGGATTTAGGTTTGTTCATTCCTGCAATGGTATGATTGAAGGGGAAATCATCCACAATGCCATGAAAATTGTCTTCAGCACAGATTTTGTGGGTGCTTTTGTGCCCGTGTATTGAATCATGTGCCTAAACCATCATACTTAGTTAATTCTCTTCAAGATATTTCTCTCTTTATATTTTTAATTTTGTTTTCATTCCTGTTTTATTTTCAGGTTGTCTCTGCAATTTTTGTTTTCGTTAGTTTTCACTCTGTCATTGTTCGTTTTAGTTTAGTTTAGTTTTTCTTTTATTATTTAATTTAGTTTAATGTTTTCAGCACAGCCTGGTGTTTTTGCTGTCTGGTGGTATTTTCGTGTTTAATGGCAGTGGGTTGTAGAGATTACAAGTTTTATAATATAGCATGTATCAAAATTATTATTATTATTACTTTTTTAAAATTTAGTTTTGGGCCAATAACATTTTGTGTATGTTACATTACTGTTCTTAATCAAATAAATGCAGCCCCGGTCAGCATAAGAAACTTGAAAACATTTTACTTTAAACTTCAAAACAAAACAAAAATCTTACCAACTGTATTTTTGTTTAGTTTCTTTTTTCTCCAGCTATGCTCATTTTTATTTCAGTTAACAAGACTGTTTTTGTTTAGTTTTCATCAACGGTAATAAAGCTGTTCCCCTTTTTTAGTCCTTTATTGCACACTTTTTTTTTTACTGAGAGAAAATTACCACCTTAAAGAACTAAGTCCGGATTATGCAAATAAACCAATGGATTCTCTTGCCACTAAACCTGCAAAACAGCATTAAGTATGATGCAGATGGACTAACACAATACAGCATTAAAGATGGAATAATGTCTATTCATTCAGAGGATATGAAAGGTAACACCATTCACTGATCCCTTCCCTCTGCACGAACAGCCACTGCGGTGTATATAACCCCTCTTTCCCTCTACCCTCTTCATATATTGTCTTGCCTGTTTTTGCCTTACTGGCTTTTTGCCTGTTTCCAGCTTCATTTCAGCAACAAGAGGGATCCAAAGGATTTAGGTTTGTTCATTCCTGCAATGGTATGATTGAAGGGGAAATCATCCACAATGCCATGAAAATTGTCTTCAGCACAGATTTTGTGGGTGCTTTTGTGCCCGTGTATTGAATCATGTGCCTAAACCATCATACTTAGTTAATTCTCTTCAAGATATATTGTTTTCATTCCTGTTTTATTTTCAGGTTGTCTCTGCAATTTTTGTTTTCGTTAGTTTTCACTGTCATTGTTCGTTTTAGTTTAGTTTAGTTTTTCTTTTATTATTTAATTTAGTTTAATGTTTTCAGCACAGCCTGGTGTTTTTGCTGTCTGGTGGTATTTTCGTGTTTAATGGCAGTGGGTTGTAGAGATTACAAGTTTTATAATATAGCATGTATCAAAATTATTATTATTATTACTTTTTTAAAATTTAGTTTTGGGCCAATAACATTTTGTGTATGTTACATTACTGTTCTTAATCAAATAAATGCAGCCCCGGTCAGCATAAGAAACTTGAAAACATTTTACTTTAAACTTCAAAACAAAACAAAAATCTTACCAACTGTATTTTTGTTTAGTTTCTTTTTTCTCCAGCTATGCTCATTTTTATTTCAGTTAACAAGACTGTTTTTGTTTAGTTTTCATCAACGGTAATAAAGCTGTTCCCCTTTTTTAGTCCTTTATTGCACACTTTTTTTTTTACTGAGAGAAAATTACCACCTTAAAGAACTAAGTCCGGATTATGCAAATAAACCAATGGATTCTCTTGCCACTAAACCTGCAAAACAGCATTAAGTATGATGCAGATGGACTAACACAATACAGCATTAAAGATGGAATAATGTCTATTCATTCAGAGGATATGAAAGGTAACACCATTCACTGATCCCTTCCCTCTGCACGAACAGCCACTGCGGTGTATATAACCCCTCTTTCCCTCTACCCTCTTCATATATCTCTGACTGCCACACAGAAGCAAGATGTTCTCAACCAAGTAAGCTGTTACCTTCTGGGTTTGCATGTTCTGTGGTTCAATGTGTCTACAGACTGCATGCCCTGGCCCATTCCTCTCTAACAGGATAGTCTTGCTATAATGTCTACTGAAGGGCAAAGGTCGCACCCAGTACTTTTTAACGTGAGCCATGTGTCTGTGCTACTTTAAATTGTATTAACGGCCTCTTCATCGTGGTGTTTTTGTAACCTCAGATGATTTTGTTTCTATGAGCAGCAAAAAAAAATGTGCAAATGTATGTGTTTTTACTATACTTTAATGTGTGTCAGTGAGCTCCCTCTGTATTTTTGTTACCATGTGTCATAATGAAATGCTTGAGTGTGTCATTCATGCCCAATGACAGGAACATCCTCTCTCCTGAAAACATATAGGAGCAGGAAGCTGAATATTCATGGCTTTATTTAGTCTCTCAGGCTTCCCAGTCTTCTCATTTCTCATCATCTCTCCACTTGTCTCCTGCAGCCCATCGATTATGAGGGCTTCCAGCTGTTCATGGCGACCTATCTGGAGAATGACATCCCTGAGGAACTTTGCAAACACCTCTTCACCTCCTTCAAGAGCAAGAATGGTGGAGGCAGCTCCCCTGACGCTTCTCGATCTGGAGCAGGCATGCTAGGTAAATAGTCTTTTTCAATAACGGATCGTATAATCTGGATTTCATATTTATTTGAACAGTTTTAATAGGAGAAACAGGTGTCAGTTTCTTCTGAGGTTACTGTTTTGGGAGCTGTGGATGAGGAACTGCAGTGAAACATGCTTACAGTTGGGTCCAGATTCAAATCCATTTTAAAACTGGAAGTAAGCTTTAAGATTTTGAGAAATGTTGAACCTCGTGACTAGGGCTGTCGCGATTCGTCGATTTTATTCGACTATTCGATTTTTTAAATCCTCGACTTCATTTTGCTCGCGTCGACTAACCGCCGTTTCAAAATAAAAGCTCAAACACTCAGTTTACACGTTTTGATGTCCACATATTCTTTTAATTAAAGTGGCTATAGCATTTCTGTCCTAAAGAAATGGCCAAATATTAAAGATTAAGTGGACAATTGAATGAAATGGTGCTTGGTAAATATTAAACAAGTATTAGATCGCACAGCAATGAGTAAAAATAATCATCAGGCCATTGGTGCCCATGCAGGCCTTTGTTGTACTGCGTAATGTACATTAGCTCTATTGTTTATAATACATTATGTATTTTAACAGTTTTGTTCAATAAAACCGTATGATTTCTTGCTTTTGATACTTTATTTGAACTAATTCATAACTAATTATTATTGCCTCATTGCTATTATATATGTATTTTAAGTAATTTTAAAGGTTATTGTTCACTTACATCTATTTTTATTACCACAAAAAAAGTATTATAATTATAGGGCCCTATGAAATCCATTTTTCTATACTCTGTTTTAATGGTTAAATTATATTTTATTTATCAAAAAGCCTGTCTAATTAATTGAGTTTTACAGTTTTATCTTTACCAAATTCTGTTTTCCTGCATTTTCTGGATTCCATTTTAATGGTTCCATTAAATTTTAATAATCAAAAGCATCTCCAATTAATTAATTTTATTAAATTTTTTTAAATTAAAAAAAAAAAAATTTTTTTTTCAGAAATACTGCACGTTTACGTTTTTCTCCTAAATAAATTCTGGTAAATAACATTTCTGGTGTTTTTTGATTATAATTGTATTATTAGTAGACTAGAACACGTGGATATATTGACATTCTTACACTATAATACTGAACTTTGATTTCAGTGATTTGGACTATGAGATGGATGCACTTTACTTTTGCTTTAAAAAAGGATTTCATAGAAATTTGGATTTCATTTGGTTTAATAAAATATTCTTAAGTAAAATTGTAGATTTTTTTGTGGGAAATGAATCGTTTAGATTAATCGATTAATCGATAAATTAGTAGATAGATTAATCAAAATAAAAATAGTCGTTAGTGGCAGCCCTACTCGTGACATAAAAAAAGAAATATTTACAATTCCGCACAATTTCTAAGTCACTAATCAGACTTTTGGAGTTCAGCTAGGGCACTGCTGCCATTAATCCAAAAGGGGTACAAACCAAATAAAATGAAATTATTCATGAAATATTTCTTTCAATTTACTCAACATGTTATACTGATGGAAACATATACGCTACCGTTCAAATGTTGAGCTTAGTAAAATCTGTGTAATAGATAACCATTCAGAAGTATTTCTTCTTATGCAGAAGTATTACCGTTCAGAAGTATTTCTTCTTATGCTCACCAAGCCTGCATTTATTTGATGAAGAAAAAAAACAGTAAAAACAGTAATATTATGAAAAAATATAATTTATCTGTTTTAGATTTGAATATATTTTATATAAATATAATTTATGTGATGGAAAAGCTGAATTTTCAGCAATCATTACTTCAGTCTTTAGTGTTACAGGATCCTTCAGAAATAATTTTAATATGCTGATTTGGTGCTCAAGACACATTTCTTATTATCAGTAATGTTGGAAACAGTTGTATACTACATAAAAAATAAAGTACTTTCACCTTTGGTCTCAGATCCCACTTTATCTTTTCATTTGAATTAGATTAAACTGCATAACAAGTTTTCTTGTAAACTTGTTTGTAACAAACCCTCAGTCTGCATGACTCAAATAATGAACTGGTAGACGTCTGGAGAACGGAGAAACCTCTTGTCGGGAGACCTGCTGTCCGCTTTACATGCTCTACATGACTTTTGGGCCATTGTTCTATAAAGACAAAACTTACATAAAGGCAAGCATGATGCAAGAGTACACTTTAATGAAAAGATGCCGGTGGCTTTGTGTCTGAATCACTACTATCATTGTTGACCTGATGTGATTTAAGGCAGATATTAGTTGACTGTATAAATAGTTCGACAGCCAACAGTGCCATCTAGTGCCTTGATTTCTCTGGACTGGCAAATACAGTACAATCAGTGATTTCTGTTGCTCCATTTGTCTTTAATGCAACCGAGTCAGCGAATGTTACTGCTAAATGAGAAACTCATTGTGGTAGTGATAAATCTGCCATATTAAGCTGTCCTGCCTGGTCGCATCTTTTCCTCTGTCCTTCTTGCTTTATTCCTATTCCACTTTACTTTGACCCCTGTGTCTGCAGAGCCCAAGTCCATTGATGCAGGCATCACTATACAGACCGAAGTAGCCTGTGCACCCATAACAGGTACCACAGCAAGTGTGGTGTGATTTGATTGGACAGAAGCTTACATCACATGACTCAAATGTGTTACTTCACCTAGTGTTGTTATGTGTTGTCTTGGTGTGTCTTGGCAGCTCTTTTTATTTAGTTGCAACCAGTGACAGATTTGATTTTCATCCATTGTGTCAAGTCAACCACTGTGCAGCTGTGGCGACAATCGTGATGTACCGTCAGCTTCCTCCTTAGTATCTTGTGCAATATTAAAAATCTCTGCCATGTGTCTTTCTACCTGTCTGGTTTCCAAAACTTCCCGAAAACTGAATAGTTCAAAGTGCTGTCCAGGTGTAAACAGACCAGTAACAACAAGCAATATAAAGCCAACTCAGTGGGTCTCATTCACTAATATTTTTGTACAAGTGTTCCTATTTATGTGTGCAGAATAGGTTCTCATGCAAAATGTTCACTGGGTTCATAACAGGTGTGTACATAAATATTTTATTCTAATGTTTATGAATCCATTTCATTCTGAATGAGCAAAGCAGATGACACTCAGTAAATACATTTTGTATAGAGTGTCTGTTTGAAAACTAGAGAAAAAATAAAATTATTTTGCAAAATATATTTTTATAAATATATACTATTTTAAAGAAATGCCATTCTTTTGAACTTCATAGTCATCAAAGAATCCTAAAATGTATGATGGTTTACACAAAAATATTAACCAGTAATATCCTTTTCTGATAACGTGACACTGAAGACTGGAGGAATGACTGCTGGAAATTCAGCTTTGCCATCACAGGAATAAATTGCATTTCATATAATTAAACTATTTATATAGAAGTAGAGCAGTAATTTTTTATTGAAATAATAATTCACAATATTTCAGTTTCATATATACATACACATATATATATATATATATATATATATATATATATATATATATATACTGTGTTATAATGTTCACGCACAGGTTTTACACAAATTAGTGTGTACACAGTGAATGAGGCCCTACGCTATGTTGCTTCCTGTCTCATTTCAGATTGGCACTTTCATTCTACTCTCTCTCTATCTTCCTGTACTGCTTTTTTCATGGTAGGTATGAATGGAAAGAGTATTTTGAGCGCTATGAGCCGACATACACCAGAGAACTCTGCAGGAATCATTCAAGGCTCAGGGGCCACCACATCACCCTGCTCCTCCCGCTCCTCCTCACAACGCTCAGGCACAGGGGGCCACACACCCAGAGGCCCCCACCGGTCGCCCGGCACGCAGCCCAATCCCCCAGCGAGCAGCAGCAGCAGCAATGCTTTGGCTCTCTCCAAGACTACCAACTCCCCGCGCCTCTCCCCAGGTCAGAGTCGGGGACAACCTTGATCTTCACCGCCCTTTTTTACACATTTAATCCATGACAAGGGTCTTATAAAGCAATATTGGCTGATCAGAATCATGATGCTCCCACACAAATACTTTGGTGTGATATCTGGTGTCATTACTCATATATTTTACATATTATAATTAACACTCTTCCAGAGCGTAATCAATCTGAAAATCGTACATCTCTCCGGAGGAGTCCTTCTCCACAAAAAGGATCACCGTCACCCCAAGTGGTCTTCCTTAAAGACATTGTGTGCTACTTGTCCCTGCTGGAGAGGGGAACACCAGAGGACAAGCTTGAGTGTAAGTTGGAAATTATTCAAAAACCGTTTTCCTGAAAGCATTTTTTTTTAAATCTTAGCTGTCTTTAGGAAATTTTAAGATTCACTTTAAGACATTTTCAAATACTTATTTGGTCATATATTTTTTGATTATTGATATTTTGAATATTGATAGTTGGTGTTAGAGCTTGTTCATGTTAAAGCAAAGACAACGTGTTTCTTTGTTATGATGATGTTATGAGAAGCCAGGTTTCTTCCTTTAATCTCCTTCTTATTTACATTAAGACAACATATCCTCATTAATTCCCACTTTTCCAAAGTTCCTCTAAAGAAAAAGAAAAAAAAACGGAAAACCAACAGTATTTTAAGTAATTTTGTAAATTATGTCTCAAAACCAGTCGTGCCTAACCACAGAAAGCATAGAATTAGTCAATAGTGACTAATACTATGTGAAAAGTCACCTCATTCCTGACAGTTCATAATTAAACACAGCATATGAAATGCAGATATGGATCTTTGAGATGTTTGAATAGTTTAGTTTTATTTCAGTTACTGTTGCCTATGTGATGCAAAGCTGAATTTTCAGCAGCCATTACTCCAGTTATCAGTGTAGCATGATCCTTCAGAAATCATCCTAATATTTGGTGCTTAAGAAAAATCTCTTCTTCTTATCAGTGCTGAATCACAGTTGTGCTGCTTAATATTATTTTTGTGGAAACCGTAATACATTTTTTTAAGATTATTTGATAAATAGAAAGTTCAAAAGAACAGAATCTGTTTGAAATAGAAATCTTTTGTAAAATTATAAATGTCTTTACTGTCACTTTTGATCAATTTAATGTGTCCTTTAAGAATAAAAGAATACTTTTATTTAAAAAGAAATCTGCAAGTAGCTATAAGTTATTAGCTATTTAATCTTTTTGAGTCACAGTTAGGTCAGTTCTGTGTTTTAATTGACCTCTGACCTACACATAGTGAGAGTGACAGAAGACTTCCCGAATCTCTTCCTCTTATTTCGTAAGGGCTTATCTCTGCTCCTGGCCTTATTTACCATGGAGTTAGCATAGGCAAGCTTTCTTTAGCATAGGAAGTTATTTCTGCCCAAAGCTAATCCTCACTAGCTGCCTCAGTCTGCCCTTTGATAACCTGAGCTCCAGGTGCTAGCATGGGGTCTGTACTTGACAAATATTTGCCACACTACAAAAAGATACAGTCTCTTATCTTTCACTTCTTTCACCCTAAAGTCATGTTCAGGCTCTACGACACAGATGGCAATGGTCTGCTGGACAGTTCGGTAAGTCTGAAATCTCCATTATAATGTGTTATGTTGAAACGTCCAGTTGTTTGGCTTTGTGGTTAGATACTGTAAACAACAAGGAGTTAATAATGCACAGTACACATTTAATGTGAGATTTACATAAGTTGAATACAACATACACAGTTACAGTGCGTTATGTCATTGTGTTGAGTTGTTAGTCTGGTGATTTTTTTTTTATATTATTATCATCCTTGAATGTTTCATTCATCTTAACACTATCAGACCTTGGTGATTCAGAGACTGTCTCAAAATATTATAGTTTTATTTTTTTTATGTAACTTTGAACTGATAGCTGGGAATATCAGGCTTCATAAAAAAAGTGAATTTGAAAACTATGCTTTATAGTGTATAATATCTAAAGCAATTATATCTGTCGATTTAGGAGCTCGACCGCATCATAAACCAGATGGTCCATGTAGCTGAGTACCTAGAATGGGACTCTACAGAACTACGACCAGTATGAATCACTTTAAGCATTTCCACCAGGCAATCCCAACATGCATTATGGAATCCATATCTTATTGTCCCTTATTTTATGTCTTATATTGTAGATTCTGAAGGAGATGATGGAGGAGATTGATTATGACCGGGATGGAACGGTCACATTAGAGGAATGGATCAGAGGAGGAATGACCACCATACCACTCCTGGTACTGCTGGGAATGGAGACGGTGAGAAGAAACGAACAGTGAGTTATAAAGAGGAAACAATACATTAAGATACAGTATCTTAATTCCTGTTCCTCTTTTACATACATTCAGAATGTACAGGAAGATGGGCAGCATGTATGGAGACTGAAGCATTTCAACAAGCCAGCATACTGTAATTACTGCCACACAATGTTGTTAGGAGTACGAAAGCAGGGCCTTTGCTGCTCACGTGAGTATCTGTCTGTCTGTCTGTCTGTCTGTCTGTCTATCATCTGTGATTTTGTCTAATTATATCTGTTTTGTTCTGTCTGTTGATCTGTCTTTCTGTCATTCTGTCTATGTTATCTCTCACCTTTTTTATATCTGATGTGTCTGACTTGATGGTGTGTAGTTTTCCATTTGAAGTGTTTCCCTCCCATCTCTCACAGTCCTGTCTTTTGTTTGGCAGTATGCAAGTACACAGTCCATGAGCGCTGTGTGTCCAAAGACATTGCTCCTTGCATTAGCACCTACGCCAAGTCCCGCAGACACACCAATGTGAGTGCATAAACAACATAACAATACTCACTGTGTTTAAACTGAATGTTTTCTCTAAAAATTTACAGTAAATCCAGAAACTGGGATTCCCAGATTGATTTGTTAGGTACAGAGCTCATAGTTCTAACAAACACAATCTTCTATTATTAGTAAATGACTCGTGTTTAACCTCAAAGTAATGTTCTGTGGACATGTCAGAAAGGCTATGAGAACATCCTGTGTGTAATATCTTTTTTTCTGTACTGAGAACTAGAGGGGAAAGACTGAGATCACACAGCACAATTTTAGTAGTCACTGACTTCTCTTTAGGACTTGCGCTCCTCATGCAGTAATTACTGTAGAGATGGAAGGCACTGCGTTCAAAAAATGTTGTCATTAGATTATTAGAGAGTGTATTGTGTGATGTGTTAAGTAATGTGGAGTGTAATTTTAGTGTAAAAAGCTATAAAATTTCAATGAACAGTGTAAATATCAGTTCTCACGCTTAAGGTGTTTATTAAGACTTGGGGCTTGTGTAAAAATATTATACACTGTCAAATTCAAAGTAATGTGCTGTAAGTTTCTTCAGTAGTCTTACCTTCATCTCACATACTATATATTGTAGTATACATTTTTAGTGACTTTTTAACATTAGTTGTTAGACTAAAGGGAAATGCAATTTGCAGTTCTTCCTAAAGGATAATTTTGAAAGCTTTGACCAACAAAAAAAATCACTGAATGTGTATTATAACATATGGGTGCATTTCTTTTAGTACATTCCAACAGATTATTATTATTTCTTTACTATTATCCTGTTTATTCAAGGAAAATCATTTTTTTTTTAATAATAATTTTTTTACTTTCTCACTTGAGGTTTTGCCTTGTGAGGTGAATGTTTTAGTCAATAAAGTGAAATAATATTGCAGATAGTGATAGAATTCTTGTACAAATGCCTTATAAATGCATGACAGAGCTGGATAATAATTTCAGTAATGTATAGATGGGCTGTTTGAGTATTTCCCAACTAAAATAAATAATGAGTCTCTGTTCAATGTGTCTCTAGGCTATGCAGCACATTTGGATGGAGGGCAACTCCCCAACAAAATGTGACAAATGCCACCGCAGTATCAAGTGCTATCAAGGCCTAACAGGCCTTCACTGTGTTTGGTGTCAAATCACTGTGAGTATATACTGACTTACTGTGGCCAGCAAGAGTCCACAACTTGCTAAAAAAAAGTATTTTTAGTAATATTAATTCTAATTTTTTTAAGAGGCCTTGAGCAATGACTAATGGGAATTAATTTTGTTATGTTTATCTCAGTATAATACAGTTGTGGTCGATTTTTCTAAAAGCCATATTTATGTAATAATTATTCTCACCACTTGGTGGTGTTCGTCACTAAACTTTTACACCATTTAGTGGATGTGGCCAATTTGTTTTTAAAATAGCCCTAATAAAGATAAGTGTCAGCACTTAACACTCATTCAAAGGCTTTTTCTCTACATAATGATTTTTATTATCACATTATATGCTCCTGCACGCTCTCTGAACTATCTCTCCTGACAGTTTCAACTCTAAGCCTGCAACTAATTTAATATCAAGTACAGATCCTGCTGGCCTCTTTGTCCCTAACATTTAAAGGGGTCATATGATGCAATTCCATTTTTTCCTTTCTCTTTGGAGTGTTACAAGCTCTTGGTGCATAAAGAAGATCTGTAAATTTGCAAAGACTAAAGTCTCAAATCCAAAGAGATATTCTTTATAAAAGTTAAGAGTCAGCCACACCTACCTAAAACGGCTCGTTCGAACACGCCCCCACATTTCTACCTCACTATGTGGGAAGATTTGCATAACGCCGCCCAATGTTCATGCAAAGAAAGAAGGCATAACTATTATTCTCGCTGTAGTACTGTTGCCGCTTCCGCCATGTCCTGAAGACGCTGTGTGCTTCGTTGTGAAAGCGAAACTACTTTGTTTGGTCTTCCAAAAGAGGACGATATCTGCTTCATCATGCCTGGAGCTGATCCATGCTGGTCGCTGAGGAAATACATCAACTTAATGCTGTGAATCGCCGGATCGGCTTTCACCGTTTTCACCGCTCCTTCGCCGGGACCGCCGTTCTCGACCCCGCCGCCTCAGCTCGCTCTTGCCCGGCTTCAGCTCACGCTAAGCCGCTGTGTTTTTCGTTGTGAAGCGAAACTACTTTGTTTAGTCTTTCAAAAGAGGACAATATCCGCTTCGTCATACCTGGAGCTGATCCGTGCTGGTCACTGAGGGAATACATCAACTTAGTGCTGTGGATCGCCGGCACATTTGTGTTTTTTAACTTTAAACCGCATAAACACATTTCATTACACCAAATACACAAAATAATGTTCTTTTTAGCAGCATCATATGACCCCTTTAATGTCGTTTTGCTGGATCAGATTAGTGAGGATAAAACAAGAAGTTACAAAAGATCCAGTCCATTCTTGATGTGTCTTTTTTCACCACTCCTCATCTATATTTGTATGTTTTCCAGCTCCATAACAAGTGTGCGTCTAACGTGAAGCCTGAGTGTGACGGTGGACCATTAAAAGATCACACACTTTTGCCGTCGTACATCTGCCCTGTTGTTCTGGTCAGTTCAGTCTCTCCCACTGCACTTTTCTGATATGCTAAAATGCAAGGATCCCAGTACAATTTTTTTTCATGGGTGGGTCCTGGACAATTATATATATATATATACCAGTCAAAAGTTTGGGATCAGTAAGACTTGTAATGTTTTTATAGAATTCTCTTTTGCTCATGAAGGCTGCATATATTTGATCAAAAATACAGAAAAAAACAGTAATCTTGCAAAATGTTATTACAATATAAAATAATGGTTTCTATTTTAATATCCTTTAAAATATAATTTATTTCTGTGATGCAATGCTGAGTTTCCATCAGCCATTACTCCAGTATAAAGTGTCACATGATCCTTAAGAAATCATTCTAATATGATTTATTATTAGAATTATCAATTTTGGCAACAGTTGTGCTGCCAAATATTTTTTTTGGAAACTGCGCTACTTTTTTCAGGATTCTTTGATGAATAAAAAGTTAAAAAGAACAGCATTTATTCAAAATATAAATATTTTCTAACAATGTAAATCTTTGCTATCACTTCTTAACAATTTAACACATCCTTGCTGAATAAAAGTTTTAATTTCTTTCAAAAAACGAAAGAATAAAAATTTACTGACCCCAAACTTTTGAACGATAATGTTTCTATTTTAAATAAATGCTCTTCCTTTTAACATTTTATTCATCAAAGAATCCTGGAAAAAAGTATCACAGGTTCCAAAAAAATATTAAGCAGCACAACAGTTTCCAGCACTGATAATAAATCAGCATATTAGAATGATTTCTGAAGGATCGTGTGACACTGAAGACTTGAGTAATGATGCTGAAAATTCAGCTTTGCGTCACAGGAATAAATTAAATTTTATTGTATATTAAAATTTTAAAAAACGTTATTTTACATCATAATAATATTTCACAATATACATTTTTTTCATGTATTTTTGATCAAATAAATGCAGCCTTGATGAGCATAAGAAACTCCTGTAAAAAAACATACAAATAAAAAATTTGTAAAACGACCTGTAAAAATGTTAAAACATCAGTTCTTTCTAAATTACAGAGAAATATCATAAAGTGAGGTAGATTCTGAAATGACATGGGTCTTGTCATATTTATCTCATATGTACATCTGTCTCACTCCGTCTCTGTTTGTTGATGTTTATGGTAATGTCTGTATATCTGTAGGACCGTCATTCTGCTGTCAAAAGAGGTGAAGGAGAGTCATCCCCCAGTACCAGCCCTGAGGACACCAGCCAGTGTTTCAAGTTCACCGGTGATGGTCAGGCACTGCAGGTGAGCTCTCAGCTGACACACACTGGGCCTGCAAATCTGTGAAGCACACATGTGTGTTTGTAACTTTTTCTCCCTCTCTGCCTCTAAGATCACCCCTCTGCCTGGAACGCACCCCCTCCTTGTGCTGGTTAATCTTAAAAGTGGTGGTCGGCAGGGTGAGAGGTAAATGTCTTTGAAGCTCAAACTATTGCATCATCATTTTTCATATTCTCCAACCTTATACTGCTGTAATGCATCCAATGAGGAGGTTTGTCAAAACATCTGAAGTCAGTCGAATCTGCATAGACATGTTTAACAAAAGTCCCACTCTTTTTCTTGCTTACTGGCAGTGTCCTAAATACCATCAAAGTTAGCAGGAGACAGTAATGCTGTTAAAGGAGGAAGAATGTGGGTGTTGTTTCAGCTCTCACCACCCACCCAACGTCCTCCGGGAGACCGGTTTTAGGATTTTGTGCTGGCATCACCATAGCAACACAGTTTTAAATACCATTAATTGGCCGATTATCCTCCATTATTACACATGTGCTCAAACAAAGATGTGATAACTGCCCTGGCCCTATAAAAGAAAGACAATTTTGGTGGTTCTTTGATACAAACAAAGGAACAGAGTGGTCACCGTTGAATCATACTGTACCAAGTGTATTTTTCCACCATATTCACCCTGAGCAGCGTACTGAAAGCTCATTGGTCGGGCGTGACACTTGACTGCATTCTTTTGTTTTGCATAGGGAATAAATGAATTCTTCAGTGTTGATAAGTGCTCAAATTCTCACCCCCACATAAAAGCATAGCTTGTGACGCACCTCAAACTAACTATTCCTCTCTCTCTTCCTCTCTGTGTGTCTTTGCATACTAAAGGGGCAGAGTAGCTAACACAGTTAGAAGTGAAGGACATTGCAGAGTCCTCAATAATCATTTTATTGCTTCAAGGTTATTGAGGAGCACTGCTGCAACAGTGTGCAATCTGTGTGTGTGTGTGTGTGTGTACTTCTTTGATTCCTAGGTTTGTGTGGTCTTTTATTATAATTAAATGGAATGATGGCGTTTTAAGAATAGCATTGCTCCATATGTGTGTCTGTCTGTGTCTTCTCAAGGAACAGTTCAACCAAAATAGAACATTCTGTCATCATTTACTCATCATCATGTTGCTCCAACATTAAATCTGCGGCTAACAATCTGTTGATTATTTATTTGATTCATTGGGGGGAAAAGGCCAAATGTTATTTTTTAGATTTTACTGAAAAAATAGATTCAATTATTCCCATCTTCTCTTCTAAAAATGAATGGTGGTTATGCTGAATATTATTCTGATTGTTTTATGGTTTTAATGATTTAGACAAAAATTACTAACAAACAAACTTGATTTAACAAACAAGCAAATGAAAATTCACAGTTTTGAAGCAGAAGGACAGTTTGAATCTGTTAATTATGTCTTTGATTAATTGGGTGGAGAAAAGGCCAAATTTTATTTTTTTCTAAAAAAATTTATTCCAAATGTGACCCAATTTCTCTTCTAAAAATGTGCAAAAGGTTTATATATATTCTAATTGTTTTATTGATTTTTGACAAAAAATATAACTAACCAATTTTATCTAGCTAACAAACAATAATTCACAGTTTTGCAGCAGAAGGACAGTTTAATAATAATTAATAATAAAAAAAACATTTCTTAACCGGGTAAGTAGAACTATTAAGAAGTAGAATTATTTTTTTTTTTTCCTGCAAATGGGACTTGCATCCAATTACATACAGTGGGGCAAAAAAGTATTTAGTCAGCCACCAATTGTGCAAGTTCTCCCACTTAAAAAGATGAGAGAGGCCTGTAATTTTCATCATAGGTATACCTCAACTATGAGAGACAAAATGAGAAAAAAAAATCCAGAAAATCACATTGTAGGATTTTCTGATTCATGATCAGATCATTTAGACCTTTTGTGTGAACTGCATAAATGATTCATTGAAAAGATTTGACATAAAATAACGATTTGTTTACGATTTGTAATTGAGCATCGCACTTCTCTCATGATTTCTTTTGAAGGTGCCAAGAAGAGGTAGGATGCACGTCAAGATTTTCCATCCATAATAACATTATTTATTTATTTATTTTTTGCCTCCTTACTTTATAAGTCATTTGGGCTTGGAGTGACAAGAGGGTTGGTAAATGATGGCAGAAGTTTTATTTTTGGCTGAACTATCCCTTTAAGCCTTCTATTATAATGTAAAGTTGACAGTGATTACATGTTTAAAAATGTCATTCCTCTATGTGTGTCTTTTAATGCTTTTCTGCTCTCATCTGTCTTCATCAGGGTGCTGCGGAAATTCCAGTACCTGCTTAACCCCAGACAGGTGTACAGTCTGGATCGAGGAGGACCCATGGTGGGGTAAGACTACTAAAAGCCACCATCAAATTGCGAGGGAGATATGTGTGAATAAATCGTTTTTTGAGTCATGACAGGGAATTGCTCAAAAACAGTTTGACATTCTCACTGTTGTTTTGTTCTGGCATGGCTCCCTCTCTCTCTTTTCTTTTTGCTTCTACAAACCTGCAATAAAGTGAGCCAACCTGCAATCAGCTAGTCTGAGAGAGGAACCACTCGCAAAGTGGAGATGACTTTGAGAGACCTACAAGACATTTACTATGACTCAAGCAGCCCCCTGCTGAGTAAATATATTCATTCAAGCGCTGAATGTTCTTCTGAGCCTGTCAGTCACGATGAGGCTTCCTCTTTAAGCGAGTCCATTTTACTAAAGCCTCTTCACTCATACACCCCACCTGCCTTTAACAGAAGGCCAGCTCAGGGTCGTCCAAATCAGTTTCAACCCGTAGTAAAGCAGTGGACTCTGTGAATGTCATTGTAAGAGGTTCATATTTACAAATTATTTTATGAGCGTATTGTATTGTAGGTTTGAATTACCTTTTTTTAGGAGAAATAAATACAAATGAGACCATTATGTTAAGAAGAACAGTTTTGTTTTAGTATTATTTTGTACTATTAAAGTATTTATTAATATTTTGAAATGGCTTTAACTTTTTATATTTCTATATATATATATTTGTATTTAGCTTTAATTTGTTTTTATTTCCATTTTAGTAATTTTAGTACTTTAGAAATTTGGAAACTTATTTCAGTTGTCAAGACTACGTACATTTCTCATTTTGATTTGTTTTTGATCAATTTTATATTTTTGATAATTTCATTTTGATTAGATAGTTTGTCTATACAGTGAATGAGTAGCACAACAATAGTTTTAGTTACTAATAACAACATTGATATAGAGCAATATATTTAAGATGGCATAGACTAGATCTTTTGATCTCAGAAGTACTTGATGAGAAATCATCTTAACATCTTAAACCAGCCTAAGATGGTTTGCTGATCTAAATCAGCAAACTTGCCTAAATCTAAATCGGTTTAGAGAGGTTTTGGCTGGCTTTAGGCTGCCATCAGCTGGTCACCCAGCAAAAACTAGCTTGGCTTAACTGAAAGACCAGCTTAAATCAGTTTACAGTAGGCTGGGTTAAGGATTTTTTTTACCAGCATGAATTTTTAATGTTCATATTAAAGTTTGCAAATCTGAGCACAGTTTGAGACATTAATATCTTTTCTGGTGTCTTTTTTTTCTCAAGAGAAACATCTAAGAAGCAGAAGCTTAATTTATTCCCCATTTATCTAACAATTAAGATATGCATTTTTAACAATTAATATCTAACAATTAATATCTTAACAATTAAACAATTAAGATATTAATTGTTAGATTAATACACTACGGGATACACTACGATGGCGCCGCAGACGGCAGCCGCAGTGTTTGGCTCTCCAGTGTTTGTACTGTTTTTGTTAGTAAAGAGATCTCATTTGTGTTTTTCTTTGCTCTAAGCTCTCACTTTCATTTTAGTGCACAATTATGCAATTGCACATACTGCAGTGAAAAAACCCACTCAAAACACAAGTACATTCTGTTCAGCATCCTGTGGTTGTGCAACAGTGATTCTCATTCAGGAAAAAGGAGAGAGAGAGAGAAGTACAGAACAAAAGCTAAGCAGTGGTCGTTTCGCGGGAAAGCAGGCTAACCTTCTGTCCCAGATCCACCTCCCCATCACACAATGTTCTGTAGTCACGACTGGAGCGCTGCTCATCCTGAAGAGAGCATTCACAGAGAGAGAGAGAGACTGAGGATTGTGTGATATTGCTGATTTCACTCAAGGAGAACAATATGGCCAGATATTACATTTTCTTCCGTAAGCACTTAGCTCATTTATAAGCATGTAGATCAAGAACAGCCTTTTTTGATATGCTATTTTTAACTTGTCCCATTAATGTCTGTGCCATTGTTTGTGGTAACAGCTCTTCATTAATACAAATAATTATTCTGAGAGAAAAAGCAGCCAAAGTTCAACTAAATAAATACACTATTGTTCAAATTTCTGGGTCAGTAAGATTTTGTTTATTAAGAAAAATTGTTTAGGATAAATGAATTGGGTCAAAAGTGACGGTAAATGCATTTATAATTTTACAAAAGATTTCTATTTCAAATGAATGCTGTTCTTCTTTTTTCAATTTGTCAAAGAATCCTGAAATAAATTCTATGCTGCTCTTAGACTTCTGTTTTAGCTTTCTAATATTCTGTTTTACTTGTGAAATTTTGTATAGTGGAAATATTAAAATATTTTGCCCAAAAATGAAAATTATGTCATTATATACTCACCTTCATGTCATTCTAAACCTCTAAGATTTTATTCCCTTTGTTGAACAGAAAAGACAATATTTTCTGTGTTCCACAGAAGAAAGTCATAGGTTTAAATCTAAAAGAAGGCGAGTAAATGATGGCAGAATCAATTGAGTGTGTTGTTCTGGATCTATGCATTTGCTAAATGAATAAATGTAAATATAATGTGGTGTATTATCAGTACAGCTTCACTATTAACACTGCAGATTGATTATTTGAGAGCAAACCACTTAGATTGGGTTATATTCTCATCTGATCTTTCTTCTTTTTAATCTCCTGGTCATTTCATTGTGAAACTGCCGAACTGATGATTGACACTAAGGGGTCTGAGTGGATATCATAAGATGGAGAGATGAAAATAGACAAGTGTGCTCTTTTGCTAAGTGTCTGCTTTGAAGAGGCCACTCTTACAGCTTTATATGGAGAAACACACAGATTTCTCAAGAATCTGTTCTCTGTTGCCCATGTCATTGGAAAAGGAATTGTTTACGCAACTCGCATCTCTACAACAGCAGCCTACGTTGCCATTTCAACAGATTGGGTCTGGCGCATTACAAATGTATCTGGAGCAGAGCTCATTTAGTCAGACTGAAACATGATTCCAGCTCAAGCCTGTCCAGAACCACACAGCCATGTTCCACTTGTGTTACTCCGCTATTGAACTTCAGTGGACATCCATGGCGAGGATGTTGTTGTTGTTGACATAGTTTGAGCATTTCCATGGCAATACAGCAATAAACCTGAGAAGGTACAACAAACTGAGAACTGCTTGAATTGACTGCATTTTCATGGTAAATGTAGTGGCACATTTACTATTCTCTTTCACTCTTGTCCTGCATACATAAAACATGCTGCATTGTCAGAGCCATCAAAAGAGGTTACACAGTATAAATTTTTCACACACTTGTGTGTCAACTCTGCTTGCGTGCTACGCTCAGTGCTATAGCAAATCCCACATGTGTCTGTATGCAGGACATGTCCCGAAGTCACCCCTGTGCTGCAGTACATGCTCCTGACCAGCAGAGGGTGATGTCTTACAGCCATGTTCCACTTGTGTTACTCAGCTATTGAACTTCAGTGGACATCCATGGCGAGGATGTTGTTGTTGTTGACATAGTTTGAGCATTTCCATGGCAATACAGCAATAAACCTGAGAAGGTACAACAAACTGAGAACTGCTTGAATTGACTGCATTTTCATGGTAAATGTAGTGGCACATTTACTATTCTCTTTCACTCTTGTCCTGCATACATAAAACATGCTGCATTGTCAGAGCCATCAAAAGAGGTTACACAGTATAAATTTTTCACACACTTGTGTGTCAACTCTGCTTGCGTGCTACGCTCAGTGCTATAGCAAATCCCACATGTTTCTGTATGCAGGCCATGTCCCGAAGTCACCCCTGTGCTGCAGTACATGCTCCTGACCAGCAGAGGGTGATGTCTTCTTCAGCCTCTGTCCTGCTTCACTGTACTTACCTCTGAATGTAAAGAGTGAAGAGATAGAGCTGAAGTGCTAATACAGATTTTTAATTATTTTTTTATTATGCAAGGATGGATTACATTGATCATTTGTTTGAAAACATATGGATTTATAATTTGTTTGTTTGTTTTTTTGTTGTGCAATTCATTTCTTTTTTTGTCATAGCTGAGAAAATAAGTTTTATTCAAGTGCTTGTTTGTCAGAGCCATCAAAAGAGGTTACACATTATAAATTTTTCACACACTTGTGTGTCAACTCTGCTTGCGTGCTACGCTCAGTGCTATAGCAAATCCCACATGTGTCTGTATGCAGGACATGTCCCGAAGTCACCCCTGTGCTGCAGTACATGCTCCTGACCAGCAGAGGGTGATGTCTTCTTCAGCCTCTGTCCTGCTTCACTGTACTTACCTCTGAATGTAAAGAGTGAAGAGATAGAGCTGAAGTGCTAATACAGATTTTTAATTATTTTTTTATTATGCAAGGATGGATTACATTGATCATTTGTTTGAAAACATATGGATTTATAATTTGTTTGTTTGTTTTTTTGTTGTGCAATTCATTTCTTTTTTTGTCATAGCTGAGAAAATAAGTTTTATTCAAGTGCTTGTCTCACGGCTCAAAGCCAGTTCACAAACAAATAAAAAGTCAAAGTTTTAGGACTGAAACTTTTAACAGTCAGAAATGCAGAAACAATGCCGTGCCAAAAAGGGCTTGAGTTGATATTTAAAGAAAGAAATGTTTTTCGAGGCTCAATGGGTTTGACTTCCAGAGTTTTTCTCCCATGATACTGAATAAAAATAGCACAAATCTTCTGTAACATCCTTCAGATCAAACATACAGCACTTAATGGTAAACTGTACGTTGCCACTGGGGAATAGTGTGAATGCTGTAGATTGTTGGGTAGGTTTGCTTTGCTGCAGTGTTGTCACTCCACAGAGTCACTTTAGTTAATGTAAAGAGTGAAGAGATAGAGCTGAAGTGCTAATACAGATTTTTAATTATTTTATTATGCAAGGATGGATTACATTGATCATTTGTTTGAAAACATATGGATTTATAATTTGTTTGTTTGTTTTTTTGTTGTGCAATTCATTTCTTTTTTTGTCATAGCTGAGAAAATAAGTTTTATTCAAGTGCTTGTCTCACGGCTCAAAGCCAGTTCACAAACAAATAAAAAGTAAAAGTTTTAGGACTGAAACTTTTAACAGTCAGAAATGCAGAAACAATGCCGTGCCAAAAAGGGCTTGAGTTGATATTTAAAGAAAGAAATGTTTTTCGAGGCTCAATGGGTTTGACTTCCAGAGTTTTTCTCCCATGATACTGAATAAAAATAGCACAAATCTTCTGTAACATCCTTCAGATCAAACATACAGCACTTAATGGTAAACTGTACGTTGCCACTGGGGAATAGTGTGAATGCTGTAGATTGTTGGGTAGGTTTGCTTTGCTGCAGTGTTGTCACTCCACAGAGTCACTTTAGTTATTGGACCAAGGAAAGCTTTCATGCAAATACATGAAAGGCAAGCCTCCATCTCATTGTTTTTATGTCTCCCAGGCTCAACTTTTTTCGAGACATGCCCAATTTCCGCGTGCTAGCCTGCGGAGGCGATGGATCAGTGGGGTGGATTTTGGACTGCATTGGTGAGTACGCATCAGCATCAGTGCTTTCTAGAGCCGTAATAATTAACATTGTTACATGGACTTAATAATAGACCATCAGCCTAATGTAGAAGTTACACGGTAGATGTATTAGTAGCATGAAATGCAACAGCAGGCATCGGACTGGGATTTCACACACGACAGCATTTCAGCTGCTCTGTACTGAAAAATAAAGTGATTTCTGGTTTGCTAAATATCACTTTCATCTTTCAAGATTAGTTTTTAATGATGTGACCAAAGAAAACGCCTTCATTTGAGATACAGATCTTATGCTGACTGTCTAGTTTGATTGCACTTCATATTTCCTGCTATTCTGCATCTGCATTTACCCTAGGAGGTCAATAAAGCATGCCAACCAATTCATTGACAAACATTTGAACATTAGGACATCCTTCCATGCGGTACTTGACTCGAGGCTGGCTCTTATTTAAGGCACATAGAATCATGACGTATAACCGTCACAAAGATTGTTCACAAATCATTGTTTCTAGGAAGCGCATTGACTCATCTGTGACCTCTTTCATATGAGTGAATGCAGGATAACAGTGGAGATCTAATGGCCTGTCTTTCCCTCTCCTGACAGCCGTATTGATTTTAATGGACGAGTGCTGGAGAGGAACCTGTGTGGGCGATGCTAGATATCGCCGCTAAGTGATTTAGAATCAGCTTGGTCTCCAAACCTTTGGCTTGAAATTGCAATGGGCTGATGGTACTGAAACCTGAACTTAGATCAGAAGCAATGTGCTCTTTATCCCTTTAGAGACTCTTTAGCCTGGCAAATTGAGGAGGACAGGGACACATGGGAGTTTGTCCTCCTAACAGCCCTAAAGTGATGATTTAAGAGCAGCTTTTGAATGAGAGCCACTCTGCTAACAGTCCTTGCTTGTTGTTCTCCCACACGAGTTTGACTGGTATTAGAAAATGTCTGCTGCTGACGATTACTCAGAGAGCCCCTGCGGTTAGGCAGTACATACGCCATACGGACCAGCACCGAAAAAAACAATGTCCCCGCAGTCCCTGTGCACATAGCAATGAGCCACACAGGGACCATCAGCATGAGGACAGAAAGATACAGTTCATCATGTTGCCTCTCTTCAGCAGAATGCACACACTGCTGTTTGTTTCAGAACAAGAGAAACAAACACATTTACTGTGGATTATTGTGAGGAATGATACACATTGATGCATGAAGCACTAGCCAATTCTGTATGCCTAACTTCAATGCCTTTTTAAAAGGAGAAGTTAGATCAGGATCTTCAACCAGGCCATGGAAGGATCCCTTGTTACATTTAGTTTAAAAAAGAGTGTAATATGTAGTTCCATATTAATGCATTTACTTTACTGTTTGGAAAAAGTTTTTAAGAAATTAAAAAAAGCAAAGATGCATTAAATTGATCAAAAGTGACAGAAAAGACATATAATTTTACAAAAGATATCCGTTTCCATTAAAAGCTGTTCTTTTGAATTGTCTATTCATCAAAGAATCCTGAAAGCAGTCCAACTGTATTCAACATTGATAGCACCCAATCAGCATATTGGAATGATCATGTGACACTTATGGCTGCTGAAAATTTAGCTTTGCCATCACAGGAATAAATTGCATTTTATAATATATTAAAATAGAAAACTAGTTATTTTAAGTTGTAATAATATTTCACATTATTACTGTATTTTTAATTAATTAAAATCAACCTTGATGAGCATAAAAGGTTTCTTTCAAAAACATTAAGTAATATTACTGACCTCAAACTTTTGAGCGGTATTGTACATACGTGTGAATCCATTAAATAGAATCATAATTTATGTCCAAATTAAAAATGTGTCTTTATTTAATTTTTACTTAAAGTAATACATTTTTATGTGGGTGGGAAATATTTTAAAACAAATTTAGCTTCTTGAGGTATGACGTTTTAAATCATATTTTATTTTTTATTTTTTAAATAAATGAAAAAAAAGAAAAATAAATGAAATAAAAATAATGAATTAATTTTTAAAAAAAATTAGCACCCACCCTGCAGCACTGCTGACACCTTTTTTGAGCCCTGAATTACACCAAATAAAAATTAAAAGGTTTTCAAACAGGTCTTCTAACTCACCCCATGTTTCATTATTAAGCCAAACAAATAGTCCAGCCCCAAATCTACAGCAAAACGCTGAGCCAGTGTTACTATGTCAGGCCACTGTGCAATGTTTTGACCACAGAGGCCCAGTGCTTACACTTTTTAAGGAACTCTGCACATTAAACTGGGATAATAGAGAGTGTTTTAACATGAAAATGCCACACAGTAGCTTTAATAGCTCTTTGTTTCTCAACAGATAAGGCCAATTTTGCTCGGGATCCACCTGTTGCGATCCTGCCACTGGGTACCGGGAATGACCTCGCTCGCTGCCTGCGCTGGGGTGGAGGTGAGGAATGAAAAAGAGACTGTACACCAGCAGTTGAAATGAATTACTAAAGGACTTTGAAATGAAACTTTAAGGGCTTTCCTTCACGGAGCCACTCGAGTTGAGTTTAGGCTTTGATTTTTTAAAATCTCAACACAATCCTGTAATAAACCCTTCCAAAGGATTTTTAGACTGCTTTCTTTTAAACTAATAAAAGTTGTGTGTAATTTCCACACACAACCCTCAACAGAAGGTCAGACTGTAATAATCAAACTTGATCATAGTTAGCTGAATGCTCCAGTCACATGAATGAAAGAGCAGGATTTGTTGAGACCACACTTGAATTAATTTATTTGTCTTCAGCACAAAAGGAGAACTTTTGAATAATGTACTGGCACCATAAAAGAAGTCTGTGTGGTATTTTCCAAGTCTTTTGAATCCATACTGCTGCGACTGGACCAGTGTGACCAAACAGTTGGTGGTAGCCATTAACTTTCATAGTTTTTGTTTCTATACTATGGAACTAAATGGCTACCAGCAACTATTTGGTTACCAACATTCTTCAAAATATCTTTTTTAGTGTTCAACAGAATCAAGAAACTTATACACGCTTGGAACAACTTGAGGTTGAGTAAATGATGGCAGAATTTTCATTTTTGGGTGAACTATCCCTTTAAACTTATTTATCTTAGTTAGTTGCCAAGGCAACATTTATAATTTAAAGTGAGCTGAAGTTTTTCAACAGTATGTACATAATATGTATATTTCATTTTATTTCAGCTATATTACCGAAAATGATTTTTAATAGTGATAACAACACTGTTAAGAGGTGAGACAGTTACAGTCATTGAGATATATATATACAAGAGATAAATAAACTATTCTTTGAATATATATATAGACTTGCCAATCATTTGCCAACAAGAGACCTGCACTGTTTCATTCCTGTGTGATTACATATGCTTGTTCTTGATTAGATATGTGGGTTTATTCAGTAGTTATGATGGAATGATATGCATCAGTGAGCCTGCGTCTGCTTGTAAGGCAGGTGTGGATGGCCTTGTACAGGCTGCTGAATTAATTGGCCTCGTATCAGTGTTTCCTGTGTGAGCATGTGTGTGGTTTGTGCAAACGGGTAAGGTTTTGCATGAATGTATTCTTAATTTCATTTGGATGGTAGATTGACTTTGAAACACGTGTATCACCTGTATTCAGTGCAGAGCTGCCATGTGAGCGTCCGTTCATGTAACGTTCGATTGGAAGCGTCTGCATGTCTGGTTCAGAAAGGCAGACTGAGCACCTGGGTGTCATCACACATGTGATATTTCCCTGCTTGGGTTGCCTGGCGGGAGCCAGTATCCCCATCTGACTCACAGCATGACGGCCCTCGTTAAGAGATGCCGCCTCTTATGATAGCAACGTAACAAGTAGACTCTGTATCCTGCCCATTACAATTAGGAAGTAATTGCAGTTCGTCCACCTCAGGGAACCTTTCTAAGGATCCCTTCATGTCATTTGGAAGGGTTGCCAGGCATTGACAAAATCCCTTGATGTAATACAGTAGTAAATTTGAGTTAGCCTTTTTTTATGTATGTATGTACAGTGGGGGAAAAAAGTATTTAGTCAGCCACCAATTGTGCAAGTTCTCCCACTTAAAAAGATGAGAGAGGCCTGTAATTTTCATCATAGGTATACCTCAACTATGAGAGACAAAATGAGAAAAAAAAATCCAGAAAATCACATTGTAGGATTTTTAAAGAATTTATTTGCAAATTATGGTGGAAAATAAGTATTGGAAACAACAAAATCAGAATGTAGTGGTCCAAAAAAGGACCAAGGACCAAAAAGCATCATACAAAAAACTCGAGAACCACTGTGCCTAACATGAATAACAATAACACATTTTACACAAGATACACAGTATACACAATATACACAATGGATAGACAGTATACACAGGTAGTTTACATATGTTAGAACCGAATGCAGTCGCAGTAATCAAAGTAGTCACAGTAATTTTCAGTATTATGCACAGTAATATCACTGTGAAATATAACGTCAGTGTTGTTATAGAGAGCAGATGATGTGCTGTGATGCAAAAACATTGGTCATTCTCACCTCAGACTTATAGTTTTGATTAGAATACATCCAGTTAGGCGGTTGCATACAGTCTAGTTTAATGTTCAAATATTTTACAACACCTGAAACTCAAACTGGATCAGAAAATTTGCTATACATATATATTCAGAACTCCTGTACTACTCTCCGTTGGAAATGAATAAATTATGATCTGTCATTTGTCAGAGAAAAGGCTCCTTTATACATTCACAGCATTGTGTTACTTGGGCAAGTTTAATCATTTTATCTTGCTGTGTTGAAATTTTAATTAAGCCATGTTAACCTTGGATTTGAGATAATGTGAGTCTTTCGTTGTCATGAGTAGAACAAAAGTGGAATCGTGCTTGTTTTATTCTACTTTTCTATGCGTGGACACTTGCTTGCTCTTGTTCATAGATAAAAAGGAGCTTTTGTGCTTTTCTTCATGTGTGTGTCTGCAACAGTAAGAACATCCATACATAAGTTCAAGTCTATAATTTACACGTTATGTAGGTTCATGCAGTGTCTGTGTTGTGATTGACAGGCTATGAAGGAGGCAGTCTGGTCAAATTCCTCAGGGATATCGAGCACAGCACTGAAGTGCAGCTTGACCGCTGGAACATCGACATTGTCCCTGACGATAAAGAAGAGAAGGGCGACCCTGTGCCCTACAGCATAGTGAACAACTACTTCTCCATTGGAGTGGTGAGAACATACAACACTTTTACACAAATGCTTACAGCTCAAAGAGACTCAATATCAGAACTCCTGAAAGTGGTGTTATATTAAACCTCCTCCTTCTATCCACACTCATCATCAGTCAAAATCTCTTACTCCCCATTATAAGTGTGTATTTTTACCAAAGCCTGAGGCCAAACCTCTCTTTAAAGTAATTTGTGATTAATTAAATGTTGTTTCTCATTTAGCATTAGATTTAATTATAATTGTCAGGGGAACAACATGTTCAAACTTCACTGATGTGATTTACTGCGTCTGAAACAGTTGCATGCCTGTGACTCAGTGTATTATTGCACAGAATTCTCCTTCTCACACACAGTTGCTTAGCAACCCTCTTCTGTTCAATTGTTATATCCCATGTTGTTGCTATAATCAAGCACTTATTATCAGAGCAGTTAAATGTCGATTCAATATGTTTTTTGTTTTTGACAAGAAACAAATCTCTTTCAGAAAGTAGTTACATAATCATTTTCTACTTCTTTTTATATACCAACTTGTGGGGTAGATTATATAACAAATAAATAAGTGATTTTTTTAAAATATGTTTTTCAAGTGTTTTTTTGCCAGATGGTCACTTTCTATTACTGTAAGAAGTTACTGACGTAGAAGATTCAGAATCTTCCACAATTATAAAATGAGAGGGAAACAAAATTCAAAGATTCAAAAGTGAATGCCAATGAGGTTATTTACAGCTAGGGATGAATTTCTGTTCTTTCGCTGGCACAGTCTAGCCACACAGAGGCCAGGTGGGTCTCCGTGAGCCTGTCGTCCTCCCTTTGTTTAGCTAATGATTCATTTCTGCCCTGTTTTTAGAACCCGCCACTATATATAGTAAGTCTGCTTTCATTTCTGAAAAATGTCCAATATTCTATTATAATCAGCCGAATCCCAGGTGTGTTGGATGACTGCTGTTTTATCTCGCTAAAATGTGCCAAGTAGTCAGGCCACATTTAGAATGGCCAGAAATAGTGACACGACCTGAAACGGGCCACCTGACCTGGTTGAAATGATAGTGAAGAGTGGCAGAAGGCACATACAAGCTTTATGCAAGGTGGCATGAAGGAATGCGCCACTTCAGGGCTGTTATGCAACTCAGCTTAGTGTCCCGCTGTCTCTGTGTTCATCAGCCAATGACACAGACCACATAAGAGTTATTGTTGTAGAAGCCTAGAGAAATTGTTGCTGAAATGTGCAAAGAATAAATCTAGCACTCTAGTTTTATGGGAAATAAAATAACAAATTAACAAATATTATATAATGCTTAACAGACCACTAATTAATATACATATCATATGACACTGAAGACTGGAGTAATGGCTGATGAAAGTTCAGCTTTGTCAGAAATATTTATCAGAAATAAATAATATTTTAATGTATATTTAAGTATATTAACATAGAAAACCATTATTTTAAACAATATTACTGTTTTTTGGTTAAATAAATGCAGCCTTGATGAGCATAAGAAACTTCTGGAAGAAACTAAATTAAAAAGATTAAAAATCTTACTGATTTATATGTATACTGTATATATAAATAAATAAATGAATAAAAATAAATGACTGAGCTACACCTGTTTGAAGTCAATAGAGTCAGCAAAGTCAGTTTTGAGAAAAACCTAGTTAAAGTTTTCTGAAGATTCCAAGGGGGGAAGTCGTGGCCTAATGGTTGTGGGTTCGAGTCTCGTGCCGGCAGGGATTGTGGGTGGGGGGAGTGAATGTACAGCACTCTCTCCCACCTTCAATACCACGACTAGCCCTTGAGCAAGGCACCGAACCCCCAACCGGGCGCCGCAGCAAAAAATGGCTGCCCACTGCTCCGGGTGTGTGTGTGTTCACTGCTGTGTGTGTGCACTTTGGATGGGTAGATGCAGAGCACTAATTCCTAGTATGGGTCACCATACTTGGCCACATGTCACGTCACTTTCACTTTCACTTTCAAAGTTTTCTGAAGATTCCAAAACAAAATCACTTAGCAACCATACCTTAAAATCTCTGGTAATACTAGCAAATTCAGTACACCAAGTCAAAACCCATATCTATAGGAAAAGTACATGGTCAACTTAGACGTTATTACAGCTAGAGGTGTGATTCTCCACTTGCCTCACAATTCGATTCGATTACGATTCAGAGGATACCGATTTGATTATAAAACTATTTTCGATGCATCACAATGTATTTTTTCCTCCAATTCTTTCATTAATAATAATAATTACTATATTAATCATAGTTATTTTTTTTAAATAAAAACAAAGATGCAAATAATCAGTTAAATCATTCAAGAAAAATAATCAAATGTAAAAATTACTACATAATCTTTAGTGTATTCATTACAACTAAAGTAGTTCAATCAAGAGCAATGAGTGATTCCCTCTTTTCTTTTGTTGTTTCATTAACATTAATGAGAGAGACAGCCTATATATTAAGACCTACTGTAATGCGCGGACATAATATAATGTTTCACATCAGATAGCCTTAGACAAGTGCTTAACAAACTCATTTTTGTGAAAACCTCAAAACACACACACAAAAATATCTATCTATCTATCTATCTATCTATCTATAAATATGTGTGTGTGTGTGTGTGTGTGTGTGTGTGTGTGTGATATATATTGTGTGATATATATTGTATATAAATATATATATATACACACATATATTTCTTCACTGTCATTTTTTTAAAGAATTCGTTGAATAGACCATTTGAATATAGATGAATCTCTCTGTTAAATTGGATATTATTTATTTGTTTGTTTGTTTAAGATAAATAAGGTATGCTGTTGCAAAGTTTCAATTAAAATACAAACACACTGCGAAGACGCAGATGTTTGTTCTGGTCAGGTCTGTGTCAGCCCATCTGATGATACAGTGTGGTGGTTTGAAGAGGCTGGCTAACGTGAAGGAGTGCTGACTGTGAATGGACAATGGCCCGTACTGTGAACCCTGAGTCTTGTGATGAGGGTGGACTGACTGTGCCATGTGGGTCCTTGTGTGGCTTGGCACTAATAACTAGTTCTCACAAGACAACAATATATTAAGAGAATGACTGGTGGTATAATGTTTCACATCAGATAGCCTTAGACAAGTGCTTAACAAACTCATTTTTGTGAAAACCTCAAAACACACACACAAAAATATCTATCTATCTATCTATCTATCTATCTATAAATATGTGTGTGTGTGTGTGTGTGTGTGTGATATATATTGTATATAAATATATATATATATACACACATATATTTCTTCACTGTCATTTTTTTAAAGAATTCGTTGAATAGACCATTTGAATATAGATGAATCTCTCTGTTAAATTGGATATTATTTATTTGTTTGTTTGTTTAAGATAAATAAGGTATGCTGTTGCAAAGTTTCAATTAAAATACAAACACACTGCGAAGACGCAGATGTTTGTTCTGGTCAGGTCTGTGTCAGCCCATCTGATGATACAGTGTGGTGGTTTGAAGAGGCTGGCTAACGTGAAGGAGTGCTGACTGTGAATGGACAATGGCCCGTACTGTGAACCCTGAGTCTTGTGATGAGGGTGGACTGACTGTGCCATGTGGGTCCTTGTGTGGCTTGGCACTAATAACTAGTTCTCACAAGACAACAATATATTAAGAGAATGACTGGTGGAGTTGGATGTTTTCTTTCAAGCTGTAGTATGTCATTTTTGGATTTGAAAATGCTTGGATTTGTAAAAAAAAAAAAAAAAAAAAAAACCTTGTAGGTTAAAGGGTTATTCACTAAAAATGAACATTCTGTCATCATTTACTCACCCTCATGTTTTAAACCTGTATACTTTTTTTCTGCAGAACACAAAATAAGATATTTTGAATAATTTTGGGGTCCAAACTAATCCCACTGACTTTTATTGTATGGGCAGCACATTTCTGAAAATATTTCAAAATACAAAGTCATACAGGTTTAGAACAACATGAGGGTGAGTAAATGATGACAGAATGTTCATTTTTGAGCGAACTATCCCTTTATTATCTATAAAAAGTGTACACTGTAAACATCCAAACATTGCTGCATTTATTTTTGTAATTCCATTTGGTGATGCTAGTGGCTTCTGCTTTAAACTCTTTCAGATATGAAACACTGTCAATTCATAACTGACTGTTCATGAATGAATGCTAGCAGTGCAGTACCTAATATTGCAAGCTTTGATGGTTGCAGTTGATTGGAATTCAGTTTGATGGACTGTTCGGCGGATGCAGGCAGTATTGTCGGGGGCCTTCGGTGTCTGAAATCACGATACTGTGGTGTGTGGTGCAGTGTGGCATGGCACTGGAGCACAGGGACAGGGTGCTGCGAGTCCAGGAGGACAGGACAGATGGCTCCACATTGGGTGCCACTGACACCTGAGTAAAGCAGTGCCATGACTCATGCACTGATGTAATCATTAGTAATGCTGTTTCAGCCTTCAACATTTTCCAGTCACTCTCCATAGAGGTTGCCATGGCGTTTGTGGTTTTCAGGCCGTTATCACCAAGGTTATGCATTTCAATATTTGTGACATTCAGAGAGCTCTTTTTCTCTTTAGCTTAACTAATATAAGGGGTCCAAGAAAAATGAAAATTCTTTCATCGTTTATTTAGATGCTGTTCCAGATCTATATGACTTACTTTCTTTTGTGGAACACAAACAGATTTTTAGAAAAATCAACTCTTTGAGTCAATATAATGCTAATGGATAATGGATGGAACCTTATGTAAGCTCATTGTCACAATGAAGTGACAATCCTCTGTGATTTCACATAACTATACGTGACATAACTATACATTGTCACACTTCACAGTGTGCTGGTGTTTACGTCAAATGTGAACTCATCAGCCTACATTTGACACTTTCCTGGAAGCAATTGTTTATAGTTTAAACATTTTAAAATATGAGTATTTTTCTAACACATACTTAAAGTTTTGCTTTAGAATTGATTCATCAGCTGGGGTTGTATGGATTACGTCATGT